TCTACAATGCGTTCTCTGGCCAGTTTGTTGATTGTTTTGAAGTTCAAATGGTTGAGCTTTTTGTGCCAGTCCCAGCTCAGTTTTGAATCTCCCTTGGCTATCAGGCAAACTCCATCTTTTGCAGTGTTCCAATCAACTACATAGATGTTCTTCTTCCTTGATGCTGTAAGAACCACTTCCTTTGTTGTCTCATGCTTCACATAGCAGAAGTCCTTTGTGAATTCAACAGTGTAGCCTTTGTCACAGAACTGGCTAGCACTCAGCAAGTTGAACTTCAGTCCTTTGACATATGAGACATCATCAATGATTATCTGGTTTTTGATCAGCTTTCCTCTTCCTTTTGTTTGACCTTCTTTGTCATTACCTCCAAAGGTAACTCTAGGTCCTTTGCATTTCTGGAACTCTGTTAGGCAACTTCTGTCGCCTGTCATGTGCCTGGAGCATCCACTATCAATAAACCATTCTTGTTCAGAGATGGCTCCAGCACACAGTTCCTGCAAGATCAAAAGAAAGATTTAGGTACCCAAGCAATGCTGGGTCCTGGGGGGTCATGGAGTATGGGTAGTTGGTACCATTTTGGTCTCATCAAGTGAAACCTTGGTGGGTGGTACCCATTGTCCACCTGGTAGTTGTAGTAGACAGAAGTGTGATTCACTTTGGGCAGGTGCTTGTGAGGGTCATGCTTCCTGTTTACATACTTTTGCATAGCTTTCTTTGTTGGAAAGAAGTCCCATATACTATCAAGAGCAGAGGGACGGTTAACCTTGGGCTTCTGAAGTTGACCAGCCAACCTCTTCTGCCTGAAGTTAACTTTCTCTTGATATTTGCCCTTCTGGTGATCATTTCTGGCACGATTGACATGAGGTTGTCTGTCAATGAATGGTCTTTTATTTTTGTTATTTTGAAAACCTCTTCTGTTGTTAGGTTTTCTGCCAGGTTCATTATTTTTCAAAAAGGGTTTCTGTTGAACCTTTATCTTACCCTTTTCTGGTCTGACTTCCTCACGAACAACCTTGGTGCCAGATACACCAGCTTGACAGATGGGGCTAGAATTCAGTGGCTCTATGACCTTATCTGCCTTAGCAACTCTGGTGCTAGGCATTACAGAAGGCTCACCTGATTCTGTTGAGCCATAACCAAGACCAAAACCAGTGCCAATCTGTTGATCAAGCACAATCTTTTCCATGGAAGACTGGGCCTTCTGGTAAGCTTTGTACTTAATCTCGAGAGGCTCTATCTCTCTTATTCTCTTAAGAAGTGAAACATTTTCAGTATCCAGTTGATCTCTTTCCTCAATTAGAAGATTGATTTTGATCTCAACCTCCCTTTTTAAGTCAAGAATTTCAGCTTTCAACTTACTGTTTTCTTCTGTTACAGAAGAATAAGTGGCTTGTATGGCCTTAAACTCTTCCCAAAATTCTGACATTGAATCAGAATCAAAAGCTAAACCTACTAAAGAAAAACTAGATTCAGAAGTAGAGGTTACCTCATCATCAGAATGAGCCATGAGGCAAAGGTCTTCTGTCTCAGTATCAAGGCAACAGAAGGCCTCATCAGAATCTGAGTCAGAACTGGATTCTGTTTCTGACAGGGGGTCTTTCTCCAGCTGTTCTGTCACAAGTGCCTTTCTTCTTCTGGAGTTGTCCTCGTACTTCTTCTTTTCTCCATCATGTCCTTGCTTCTTGGACACTCTAGGATGGGGACAATCAGCCTTGAAGTGGCCAGGTTGTCTGCAGTTGTAACAGAGAAGCTCTCCACTGCTTTCTGTTGATTTGACCTTCTGGTATGGCTTTCTGTTGAAAGATGGACTCCTTCCATCTTTGGGATTCTTCATGAACTTTTTGAATCTCCTGGCAAAGGCAGCCATATATTCATCAGATAAAAGTACTGAAGGGTCAAAATCATTTACCTTAGAAGTGCTGGCAGTGAGGGCTGTAGAGGTCCTCTCTTCTGGTACATCTTCCTTTTCTTCAATCATTTCAAACTCATGAGCTTTGAGATCTGAAATGAGCTTATCAGTGGGATAAGTCTTTACATCCTTGCTCGCTTGGACAGCAACTACCTTCATCTTCCATGCTGAGGACAGTCCCCTCAACACCTTCAGGTTGATCTCCTTGGTTGTGAGATCCTTCCCAAGCTCAGAGATCTCTCCAGTGAGAGTGAGGAGCCTGTCATACATCTTGGAGATGCTTTCACCAGGGAGAAGTTTGAAGTCATCAAACTTCTTGTTGGCTATGGTTAGTTTGTTGTCTTTCTCTTGCTCATCACCAGCTCCAATGAGCTCAAGAGTATCCCAGATTTCCTTAGCAGTCTTGCACTTCTTGATTCTGTTGAAGTACCTATCATCAATGGACTTGTAGAGGATGTCCTTGGCAATATTGTCAAGGTTGTACTTTCTCCTCTCTTCAGTGGTCCATTCAGACTTGGCTTTGCTGATCATCTGGGGTCTGGTGTTGTCTATGGCATGTTCAGGATTGACCTTCTGGAAGTTAGTGAAGGGGCCAATATCTAGAACTTCCCACATCTCATCATGCAGGGCACAGAGATGTGCTTTCATCCGGATCCTCCAGTCATCAAACTTAAGATCTGAAAACATAAGATTCTTGGACAAGGAGTGATCCATTATATCAGATAGAAATGAGGTAAAACAGAAACACAAGTGGATCTTTGTTCAACAAATAACCTAAGAGATTATTAGAACAAGGAGGCTCTGATACCACTTGTTGGTCCCGGTTATACTGGATACAGTCTAGAGGGGGGGGGGGGTGAATAGACTGTATTGGTTTTTAGCTTTTTAAACTAAGTACCAGGTTTACAGAATAGCCTGTTCTGTTGAAGGAACAGACTGGCAGCGGATGAGGTTCTGGTAGGGAGTTCTGTTAGCCTCAGAGGAGCAAAGGCAGTAGGCCTTCTGTTAACTCGTAGAACAAGTTCTGCTGAACACAGATACCAAGTTCAAGGAGTTATACAGTTCTAACTAAATGCAAGTATTAAAAGCAGTAAGTAAACGACACCAGGGATTTTTATAGTGGTTCAAGGAACAACTCGTTCCTCTAATCCACTGTTCCACTAAGCTGTAAAAACTGCCGTTTACAAAGCCTTAGTCCTAGCACTTAAGAAGCACTCCACGTCTTCTTTAAGCCTAGATGTGTCCTGGGATGCTCTGCCTGGCTTCCTTTAACACTGGTCCTTTCACTGAGTCTCCTTGAAGTATCACCACTTCACTACTCCAGTTATTCGGACGTCCTTCTTGTAGTAAGTAGAGTTTCTGTTGAAACAGGGGTTCCTCCAACTAGCTTCGTCACAAAAGATTTGTATGTAATGAGCTTGAAGAGTTGAAGAACACTTGGAACTTTGCTTGAGTTGGAAAGAGTATTTTTCCAACTTCTGCCTTCTCTTGTAGAGGATAGTGAGTTTGAATCTCAAGGAGGCTTTTGCTTTTCAGAGTTTGAATATCTTGCTTGTAGCAATGTAATAGCAAAGTTGAATCAAGGTTGCAAAAGTAGTCCGGTTGTTCTTCGTAGTGTATCTTTTATACTGAGGTTGTCTTCCCGTTGGAGGAGTAGGAGGACAACTGCATTTAATGCGCGAGCAGTTGACTTGACCAGTAGGACCCGGTAAAGTTGGCGGGTTACTATTTTGGGATAAAGTAATCCTGACAAAGCGGCCAATCATCTGCAATTACTCCACGGAGCATGGGGAGCATTAAATGAGCATTTAATGCGAGCACTGTAGCTTTTCCGTTTCATACTCCTAGCCGTTGAAGGAATCTTTATGTTGACTTCCCGGCTTTGTGGATTTCTTCCAAGTGTCAGACCTTCTGGTGTTTTTAACAGAGAACTGAATCAGAGAAGATCATGAGCACTTCTGTTGTTGGTAGCTTACAGAGAACCAGGAGGCTTTCTGTCACGCTAATGGGTAACAGAGACCCTGACGTATTCTGTTCCTAGACAGAGAACCAAGATCTTCTGTCTGGAGAACTTCTGGTAGAGAGGCCTTCTGGTGGTCGAATATGCTAAGATCTTTACAAGGGAAAATTCTAATACATAATTTCTAAAGGGGTACTCTACAGTCCTAATTAATATAGCATCATCAAAATCTAAATACAATAATTCCTTACACTAACATTGTCGAAGACTGTTTGAGATCCTTTTTTTCTATGGATTTTTCGATGACTTTCCTTTTGCAAAATATGCCGCTGGTGGTAGCTGCGTAAATGAAAACGATGAAATTAAAGAGCGAGATAGATTTAATTTTTTTAAACGAAGATAGATTTAGAGTCCGTTTGGTAATACTGAAATCAGTTGATTCTGCTGAAATTTATGAAATTCTAACTGAACTGGCTGTATTGACTGATTCTATTGATTTATGAATAAATTATATTTAAAATATATTTTATCAATAACATTAAGAATAAAAATGATTTAAATGATCATCTACAGTACCTTCAGCCAATACAGTCAGAAAAGTAACTTTAACCTTACTTTTTTTATTATGACACAATTCAGTGTCCGAAATCAAAAGTTACGTGTATGGTAAAAAAGTTGACTGATAAGTCTAATAAGCGGAAAAACTTAAAAAAAGAACGAAGATAAATTTAGAAGTTAGAGATTATTAAAATCACTATTATGTCCAAAATAATTATTAATCATTTTGAAGCTCTACCCGGGAGTATTATTTTGATCACTGTTTCTGCTACTACATACGTAGTATTGTATTTTTTAGGGAAATTTCCCGAAATAGGACTAAATTTTTTTGAAAATTTCAAAATAGGACTGCCATGTTTTTATTCCCAAAATAGGAGTAATTACTGCCATGTTTGGAAAATACTATCATGTTTAAAGTCTAGTACTGGCAAAACATGACAGTAATTAGTTCTATTTTGAGAATAAAAATATGATAGTCCTATTTTAGAACAAACAAACGGTTTTAGTCCTATTTTGGGTAATTTCTCTATTTTTTATCATCAGTTTAACAGTTTTTATCAATTAATGTTGCAGTTTTCAGAACCGACACCAATCACTCAGTTATCCAAACTTACAACGAAACCACATATGAAGAATGCGACAGTGAAGATGATGATACCGCACTCCAGTGGTCATACACAGACCCTTCCACCGCCACTTCAGTACCCCCATCGACTCCCTTGTATGTGCCACTTACCAAGGTCGGGACGACGTACTTTTTCTCCGACGACTATGACGGAGAACAGTGCAAGAACGGTCTACGTATGAAACTTAATGTTACACATGGTCAAGGCTTACCACCTAGTATGAGATCCCCCGATAAATCGCCAGCTCCAACGAGCCCCCAATCTGGCGATGATTCGGTGCCTGATACATTGGTGCCAGCTTATTTCAATAACCCCCATAATGTAAGTGATGAAGATAGTGAGAGCCCGCCTAGTTCGGTTTCTTCACCAACTTTTTCTAAAGTGTTTGGGACATGGTCAACTGGGATCCTATTTGTCTTGGTCCTAGCTTGTACCATTTGATCATCATAGTCTTCATATTTTCCTTTGCCTTCTAAAATCACTATCTATACTTCTATAGTCTACACTTCAAGCACACTATGTATTCTTTTGTTATATGACAACTATATCCTAGCCTCCTAGGCCTTGTACCTTGAGTCTTCATGTTCTGATTGCTTAGTTAATATGTTTTGAAGATATAATCCAAATTTTAGAATCTCTAAATGAATAAAAACTAAAATTTCAGCCCCAACGGTGATTACTTTCACGGTACTGTTTTTGTGCACTAATTAAAATATGATGCTTAAAAAACATGAAGAAATTAATAACCACATACTTCACATAACTCGAAAAGAAGACTATCACACTATCAATTAATTATAAGAATGTATGAAGATGTGAAAAAACAGTATCACACATTCACACATTACGAGCCCGTTAGGTAGTCCTATTTTTCGATTTATCAGGCTTATCAGACAGTTTTTCACAAAAAATGTAACTTTTGATTCTGCACGCTGAATTCGTAATAATAAGAAAAAGGGAGAACTATCAAATAAGCCATCGAACTTTCATAAAAAGTGCAAATAAACCCTTTTACAGGAGGCTTTGTCCGGCTGTCACCATTTGGGGCGGTTTCCGGTGGAATTTTTTGATGAAATGTTTTGAGCATCTTCTTCATTAAGTCTAGTTTACCCATACCAAATTTCAGCAAAAAATTCAATCGTGAAGGTAGTCAAATGATTTTATAAAACATATTGGTATGAGTAAACTAGACTTAATAAAGAAGATACTCAAAAAATTTCAACAAAAAATTCCACCATAAACTGCCCCAAATTGCGACGGCCGTACAGAGCCTCCGATAAAAGGGCTTATTTGCACTTTTTATGAAAGTTCGAGAGCTTATTTGATAGTTCCCCCTAAGAAAAAGTAAGGTTGAAGTTACTTTTATAGCTGTAGTAGCTGAAGTTACTATAGAGTGTCATTTTAGCTACTTTTCATATAATTTTTTATTTTTTTAAGAGAAAATCGCATATATGGTCCCTCAGTTATCCACGAAATTAAAAATCTCAGACCCGTATTTCCGAAATTGTAAATGTCACCCCTCAATTATCCAAAATGTTGTAAATGTGATCCTTTTGAGGGGTGAAATATATAATGTGGGCGAGAATACATTTCACCACTTAAAGGACCACATTTACAACAATTTGGACAATTAAGCGGTGACATTTACAATCTCAGAAATACAAGTCTGATATTTTAATTTCGTGGATAACTGAGGGACCATATATACGATTTTCTCTTTTTTTATTAATAACAAATATTTTAAATATATTTTTTCATAAATCAGCAGAATCAGCCAATACAACCAATTCAGCAAGAACTTCATAAATTTCAGCAGAATAAACCAGTTCAGCCAATTTCAGTGTTACCAAACGGACTCTACATTTCTTGAAAGGAAACAGACCATGATTTTGAGATGGACGAGAAATGAAAATAGGTAGATAATTTAAAGACATGGGACTGTGGGAGGGAGTACTATTAATAGCGTAACATTGCGGATAAACATTCACAATGTTAATCATAAATGACACAGTTTGGACTATTATACATCACCATAATAAAATATGGAAACCAAAGCGAGGTAGATGAACTCGATGAAAGCATCTTACTTTTGCAAGATACTTGCATGCTGCTCAGGTAGTTTAGTTGCTTCATAAAGAGCACACTAACATCAATGTTAAATATTTCAATTAAAAGATGGCAACAACACCGAATTACCAAATAGTCTTGCAAAAGTGAGCAAACAAACATTACCCAAAATCATCACCAATATTCTTTAGATGGTCTTGCAGACAAGCATTACTAGAGAATCGTCGTATTTAAAAGCAACTTACACATACCCACACTATGAGTCAGAATAGACACTATCTACCAATGTCTAGAGAATCTGAACGTTCTGAATCGTCTGCAAGCCCTCTTTGGTACCAGTCTTGATGTCAGATATCTCTTCTATTATGCCTTTGCCATCTGTGGCATCATAATAGAAGAAATTCTTAATTGGATCTCCTTTTCCTGATATTGCTTTAATCACCTCCTACACAAAGCAAACACTTCTATTAAACATTTCGAAATTATCCAAACAAGTTGCAGAAAGTCCAACCAATGTCTGCCTTATAGGTTTGATACCTGTCCAAGGATTCCTCCCATGATGGCACACACGGGAGGAAACTCTCCCGAGGGCCTTAACAACCGTACCAGGAAAGAATCTGGAATGTGAGATTCACTGACCCCCTGAAAACACGAATAAACCAAACAAACAACATAACCAACATGCATATACTTATATAGTTATGGTGATGATTAACAGTGCAAGGAAGTCGAGTTGGCACACCTGGATATCACATACTTCCTTCCTCAATCTTTGAAGATTCTGAAGGTCAAGATCATCAAACCTGTCACCATACTCACGCGCTTCAAGACGTTCATACTCCTCCATGACTACAAGGAGTTAATCGTCGAGGTGTCAAGTCATATTGCACTGATTTACAAGCGTGAAAAATAAACAGAAAAAATAATACTCTTCTCACTATTTTTTTTGAGAGTTTCTCACTATTTATTTTTGTTAAAGGGTGACCACAGCCCTGAGACAGGTTGAGTCTGCTCGCCACTTCCAAATATCAGGAAATGTAGATTTACCAGATATGGGAAGGTTTACAAAAGAGAAAATAGATACATCATACAGTATAAAACATCTCCTTAAAACATCTTCTTTGTTTGGACAGAGATAGTAAGTATTATAGGTAGGAATAATGTGATTGGAGATCTCAAGATATAGAAGATAGCAATTCCTAAAAACAAATCTTGACATAACAGTGCTGACAGCCTGACAGGAGATGCAGTGTACAAAATAAGTGTAATTTCTTATCAACTTGCAATGTAAAATTTACTAATATGCTCCCATAACATGTTAGGTAGTGTCCATCTTTCTTTTGTATATTGGGGAAAGATGGGTACATGAGACATCTTAAATGACCTAAATAGTAGCATAAGATTTGAAGGGCAGGTGACTGGTGGATTTCTCCACTCATGTAATTGATCCCTGGGTTCGAATACCTAGAAACTCCCTTCTGCTGACTCCCTAAGGTCTGTCAAGAAAGAGGGGATTTTGGAGGGAAAGAAAACATAAAAAGAAAATAATACATTTCTTCAAAGTAAATAAAGTTATTTCTACTATGCATTTTTAACCCCGACGTCAAAAACATTTTGTTTATTTGTTTCTCCTATGCATTTTTAACTCCGATGTCATATGTCGATTCATGTTAGCAAACCCCAAACTCTTTTGGCATTAAGGCTTGCAAGTTGTTATTGTTGTTGTCGTCCAGGCTAAGAATGTAAACACATGACAGATTTTTAAAAACATTAACCATTTGTGACTTTCCTTTGCAGTCCTGAGTTAAAACCAAACATAAGAAAATAACTACCCTTAGCAGTTTTTTCCCCATTCTGTGACCCAAACATAACCCTAATATGTGGGAGCTTCAGCATTGATATTTAATGGTTGCCTGGGACGTTTATGTGTTTTTAGAATAAAAGCTGTTATATTTACGATTGTTTTAAAAACTCCTTTAGTTTGATATTTTGACCGTCGTAATTACACCTGAGTGATTAGTAGAAAGCATTAATAACGCGATATGCATTATTATCCAAGAAAGTTATACAGGTACACCAATATAGAGTATCTGCAATTTTACCTCTCATAGCAAAATACAGCTTTGATGTTCTCTTGGGTAAATCTTTCCATGGGACTTCAATAGCTTCCTGTTCAAATTAAACACTGTCAAATGACAGTGGAATAATTCAATAATCATACTTCCATGGTAGTACACCATGAAAGTGAAGGTATATAAGTCATTTAAGATGGTTATTATAATTAAACCTTCAAACACTGATACCTTAAAACTTGGATAGTTTATTTGGCAATCTGTCATTTCCTCAAATCGCTTCTGCCAAACAAAAAGAGAGATATTACAAAGGGATTTAGGTGTGATGTACATTAAAGATAACAATGGCAACCTGGTTATATAGACCATATAAAGATGTAAGATCACTTCTAACCTTAGAATAGGTGTAGCACTGCAAGTCAATAAAGATCTCGCCACAAGAATCTCTAACATCAACCGTATAAAATGCAATGCGCTTCGACAACTTCCGACACTTCTCATTTACAGATTTCTATGGTAGAGTTGCAGAAAAAAAATGAATAAATCATTTCCAAAGTGATATAATTCTAATCTCAGTGGGTAGTCGAGTACTTGAGCGCATGTGTTTTTAAACAGCAATAATAGCTACCAATACCTTCGTCTCCAGAGAGCACTGACAGATTACAATTACATCAAACTTATCAAAGAAATCAGCATCAAAACTGGACAATTCACCTAGAACAAAATTGTAAGTATCATCAGAGCTCTAAATTTAGTTGAGACTAGCACTTCCATCATTAAATATGATGATAGCAGACACTGGTTGGAAATAATGAAAATACATTTAGGTGCACTACAAAAACACTCAAAAAGTGTATACAAAATGTTCAACGCTCTACTAGTGTACTCCTATTTTCACTTCGTACTGATTTATCCAAGCAACTAAAATTTTATGTTGTCTTTTGTCATTGTTCTCATTGCAAGATTCAAATTGTATTCTGTATGATTAATGATAATAATAATTGGTTATAAGTCTTGCATTTAGTCTCTGTAGGCTCATAAGTCAAGAGCCCTTAGCATAAGCGTCGAATGAGTGAGAAATCAGAAAAAATTTGCAACCTAACATGCAAAAAGGTAAATACCCTTAATGAAGTGCTATGCAAACTAACATGCAAATGACACTCTTAATGAAGTAGGCTAGTAAATACCCCTCCGTCCCATAAAATAGTTCCCGCATTGTCTTGGATCGGAGTTTAAGAAAGTGGGAATAAAGTGGAAATGTATGGTTGTGATTGAGTAAGAAAAAGGTAAATGAATGTGAGCCACACAAAACATTCCAAAAAGGGAAATGAGAACTATTTTTTGGGACGGCCCAAAAAGGAAACTAGGAACTATTTTGCGGGATGGAGGGAGTACAAAATAAGCCTATGACAAATGCAATCAATCGAACACTATTTACTGTGACTGTAAGTGGTAGCCATGGGCACTAACCATATTATAAAAAACTACAAGTCTCAGCAAGATCCTTAATGATGAGTTTAACTATATATGTGAGCAACTGAATAGTCTAAGAAAATCAATAGCATCAGAAATCATAATACATGTCTAACCTTTCTGGACAGAAACATGAACCATGGGGTTGAATTCTTTCAATGAATGACAACAGAGCTCAGCAACAGATTTCCCACTAAACACATTTTCATCAGGGGGGATGAGGAAATTAGCAGAGAGTAAGTCATTGGTCACCATACGATCATCATTCAGGGTCAAACTACCAACTCCAGCTAAAACGATGTTTTTGCAGAACTGCCAACATAATAACAAAAATTATATACTTTGACACTTTGTATTTTCTTTTGAATGAAATAGAACGCCTAATGACAATCTAAGACACCCCCTTTGAGATTCCAATAAAAACTTTCTAGTTTTACCCTTCAGCACCTTTCAATCAAATTGGCATAATGAGGGTTAACTAAATCGGAACTTTCTACACCCAAGAGTATATCACTACTATTTCACAATGAAGAAAAAGATATTAGCAAGTTTTTTAACATGCCTCAACAACTGTCCCTTTGAGCCCACTGACGAAGACATGAGATTTGCTGAGCCTGTTGCAAAAACATTTTAAAAAGATAAGTCTTTCATTGAAAATGTAATAGATCCAATTATCAAGAAAAATTGGCACGCAAAAAACATGAGAACCGGTACAACCAAATAGCATCCACTTAAGTTGTTATTCCTATAAGATCAAGATAATAGTGAGGATGTAATAGGTATTAGAGTATAAAAAGGGCTAGTTGGGACAATCATTGGGTCTTATGTGGAGTAATTAGATACCTAATTACTGCCACTAAACCAAAACCCTTGCAATGCAATGCTGAACTATGTAATTAAACATCAAGCAAGATGCAACAAAGGCCACAGCTTATACAAATGCATAGGTAAAGGTACGGACCTTCTTTGAGCATCAACGCCCCAAACCCTAATCTGACGATCATAGATGGCAGTTTCCTGCTCTGTCAACTCCACTGGCTCCATATTCTGAATCAAGACAATCTGAAACCCATTTGTTCTTTTGAGCACGTTTTCCAAAGAGAAGAGGTATGTAGAAATTGACAAACATTAGAATCTGGGTTATGAATCCGATAAGATTATATAAGTAAAGCACAAGAAACTACAAATTTGATACAGAGACTTGCAAAATTCGAAGTCTTGTTGACCTTTGCTGGTTTTCAATCCTGCAGCTCAGTGATCGCAGTTGAGCGGGAGAGCGAAACGTTTATCTGCTTCGATGGTGGCCCGCTAATGGTAAAAATCTTCAAATTCCAAATTTATTTAGAGATAATTCAGTCCGATTAAAATATGTTTTTTAATCAAATAACTAATTTGGTGTCAAAAAAATCAAATAACTAATTTATTACTCCTTATTCATTAAATTATAGCAAAGGAACAAGTGAATGAATAGTCTAAGGATGCTTTTAATTAAACTCAAATTTTATGATCTAGTCTGGTCCGGTCTGATCTGGTCTGTCTGAGTTTGATCTGGTAAGAACCGGTCTGTTAAATGTCTCATCTCCGTGTATTTTATAATTCTCGAATTTGGTCTGATAAGTTTAAGTTAAGTCTACTCTGTTTTTGTCTGATCTGAACTGGTCTGCTACTAAAATAAGCTCATGTGAAAACATCCTAAGTTATGAGATGAGAGCAGAACGGAAAGGATACCATGAATCCCTCCAGATCACTTGTCTCACAATAATGTAGTGTAGTCTAGCAGCTTTGTTGTTCTTTTTACTACTTCAAAGCAAAAAAAAATTAAAATTTACAAATAAAAAATTTGACTTCACCAGCAACTAGAAAAAGGAGAATTATAGGTTTGACCAACAACCAATCAACAAATGAAACTCAAGTAAGTAGCAATTGACTTAATCATTGGTTTGACCAGTCACAAAAATGAGATCTATTTAAACATTAACTTTCTCTCCGTATGAGGCAGTGACTAAGGAAGAGGGGGGCAATTGAAGTTTCAGTAGAACTATTGTTAAACTCACCTTGTCAATCATGAATAATGAAAATCCATTACTCGATCAGTTACACCAAAGAGCAACACACATTTTTTTAGCATTGCTGGGAGAGTAACCAATCCCACACTCACCTAAAGCGAACATAACTCTCAGTCAAAGAATAAGTCGTACCAAAACAAGAACCCTAAAAGGTAGAAATCTTTGGTTTTTATACGAAATCATTTTCTGTGAACGTGATCGTCATAAAAAACCTTTGATTTGTAAAGAAGAGCGGCAACCTAGAAAAACATTAGACTTGTTACTGCCCAAAGAATGTGACTTTCATTGAAAACTCTTGTCAATCAGAGAGGAGAGCGGCAGGAGAATAGATCGTCCAGGAGCTCAATGCTATGGGAGAGTAAAATTGACATAACACATGTCCTCATCTTGTCGCTGCCTTGCGTCTGATGGCTGCTACACTGCCGTTGGAACTCCGCCTCCGATCATCAATCGTCGGGTTGCCGCCACCTCTTCCATTGGTATGCCCCGATCATTATGTGAGGGAATTAGGAAAAATAAATTTTATTAGGGGTAGAAAAGTGATCATGTTGTATAGGAACACATGTAAGTTACCACTGCTATTCTGCTAAGCTTGACTTTTAATGCACCTCCGTATTTGATGTAATTGGGAAGCATTTCGTAGTCGAGGGTGACATGATGTGAGAAACAGATGAGTTTTATACCTTTGTGATGCGCTGATGGACGGGAGGAGCTTGCAGGATGGATGGGGAATATGATGATCTCGGAGGAAGCGTTGTAGCTTGCGGCACTTGCGCACCTCATGTCTTGTATTATCACATAACCGGTGGACGTAGCTCAACTGGTAGCGAGGGAGTGTCACAAGGGTTAAGTCCCCGTTTCGAATCCCGACATCTGCGATGAAAGGTTACTATGCTAAAAAAATGCATAGGACTTCTGCAAGTACCGGGGATAGAGTTCCACTCTCTATCTGTCAGATTGTGATTATAGTCCAATTTACATCCTCCCAACATACCATCCGATCGGTATTGAGGGCTCCTCGACGATGGGGCGTCATCCTTTTTTTAAATTATCACATAAAATGCATGTGAGTTGTGATGGGTTGGTAATAAAAATGAATTGACCAAGCGCATAATGAAAGCAGGGGCGGACCCACCCTAGGGCTAGGGGTTGCCCGTGCCCCAGCGGTGATTTATATATATATATATATATATATATATATATATATATATATATATATATATATATATATATATATATATATATATTGGAAAATTCTCAGGTCCAGCACATCTCGGTCCGAACGCCGTACGAACACCGCCGTTTGGGACGGTTCCAGGTGGAATTTTTTGATGAAATATTTTGAGCATGTTCCTCATCAAGTCTAGTTTATCCATACCAAATTTCAAGTCAAAGTTCGACCGGGAAGGCAGTCAAATAATTCGTTGAAGTTGACTGCGTTTTTCTATGTATAATTTGGCGCAGTTAACTTCAACGAATTATTTGACTGTCTTCCCTATCGAATTTTGAGCTAAAGTTTGGTATGGATAAACTAGACTTGATGAGGAACATGCTCAAAAAATTCCATCAAAATATTCCGTCGGGAACCGCCCCAAACGCCGGTGTTCGGACGGCGTTCGGACAGAAAAGTGCTGGACAGAAATGTTATGCCGATTGAGACTTATGATGTTAATATTAGAGATGAGTTGAGGAGACGTTATTTGAGAAAAGGTCGTTGCCAACCGCGTGACTTTAAATTTCCACAAAGTGATTTTAATGGATGCAACACATCATTCCAAAAACAGTGGTTTTATTTAAATTTTATAGTTTTGTTTATTGCTATACTCGTGATGCATATGATTTTTTTCTAGACTAGTATATCATTTCTTTGTTATTGTGCCCCTGCGAGTCACTGGTCCTGGTTCCGCCACTGAATGAAAGTATGTGCCATACTAACTACTAAGAGAATTTCTAATGATTAGAATAAGGAGACTTGATTGCAATTTATGAGAACAAAGTTACTAGTCAAACCCCATTTGAATGCATTTTTCATCCTATAAAAGGACAAGGAGGTAGTGCTCTCAAAGTAGCATCGCCTATAATTCTGACATGACCACGAGACTTGAGTGTTTTCTTAGAGGTGTTTCTTTTTTAATTCATAAAATCTATTTTATTTCAATTACCATTTGAGTAATTACTTCAACAATGTCATAAGATTACACCACATAACTAGGAGATTAGAAAATTTGTTTGATCATAGGAGGTCATTTAACTTTATGTCTCATCCCAGATAGCCTTATTTTTTAATATCATTAATAAATCCTTAATCTGTATTTTAAAGATTATTACATTAGCCTTGACACATCATTTAAGGAGGAAAGTAGTAGGGGGTAATAAATAGTGTAGAAAGAGTAGAAGATAGAATGTAAAATTATGAAAGAAAAAATAAAAAGTAAAAGAAGTCTGACTTTTTTTAAGTAGAAGAAGTAAGGGTAATTAAGTATTTCATCCGTCCCGTTAAAATTTGTCTCATTTTTTCTTTTCAAAAAGTCATACTAAGATTGTCACACATCAAAGTTTGTAAAAGTTATGTGGCTCTGAATATTCTTACTCTATCAATCCAATATTAATCACATAAACTTACTTTCCTAATAACAATAACATTTCCTCATGCCACATTGTTAGGTTGTAAAGTACTACCTCAATATTTTAATGATCACTGCATTAGGTTGAACACATTATTTAAGAAGTAAAGTAGTAAGGTAGTGAATAGTGTAGACAAAGTAGGAGAGAGAGTATAAAAGTATAAATGAGAAGATAAAAAGTAGATAAAGTAAGAGTACCAAAAATTAAAGTGTATGAAACTTTTAAATACAGCCCAAAACGGAAAATGTAGGTAGGCATTTGATCGGTTCAGTTATTGTTAAAATTCGATGGTACCGTATTAAAATTTATAAGCGCTAAATTCGGTTCGATTCTTACATTTTTTCGGTTCCTAAAAAAATTTATTACCGTCTTAAAATGTACACATTTTACCTTCAGTTACATAAAAGAAATCAAATTTCAAATGATGAAATTATGACCATTGCATTATACATACATGATGTTCCAATGTTCAAATATCACAAAAATATCCAAGTGAAACATTAAGTTTAAACATAAGAAAAACATAAAGGTTTAAAATAGGCATCCACTATAAAACAAAAAAGTTTAATAGCTTCAAGGTACACATTCAATAGCAGTTGATTCAACCTCAAAATAATAATCTTCTACTAGTAATGCACCATAAGTAAAAAGTACATAGTAATAAACTGACCAGTAATATTTGTAATTACTATGAACAAATAACATATAATCAGCAGAATATAATTCCTGTAATGAACAAGATCAAAAGTGTACTTTCATTCATATATGAGGATGTATATATAGGAGAGGAGCTAGGGTTACAATCATCAGATGAGCCAATACATATGAGCTCGGGCTATGAACTAATGGACATCCATAAATACATAATAATCAATACAACAATAATACGTAGTATAGTGAAGTAAGGTTCGTATCCACAGAGAAAGGAATACTTTTCTCTTATATCAATAGTAACAAGGGGGTTTTAAGTTTGATTTGATTGAATTTAATTAACACTAAGATAAACAAGCTATATGAGTTTAATTTAATGAGATGAGGACTTGGTTTTGCTTTTATCCACTTAATGAAATGTTCGTCGATACCGGTTATATCTTTAACTATCTTCCTCTCGAATACTCAATCGAGGAGTATATCCAGTTCATCGAGGGTAGTTATTAATAACGAGACGCGTTCATTAATAAAACTTACTACCGAGTTAATATAGAACAAGCGTCGTATATTGGCCCGATAGTAGCAATAAACTTAAGATGAAAACGATTGAGATTGATAACCTCAACACAAGCGGTTTATTGGTTTAATCAATATAATTAATTCCTCTTAGATTATTAATCATGACACGCATGCATTAACAATCCAAGTTTACTACCGTTGAAGGAACCGAATTAATAACAAGCGTATTAATCGATTGATTCTAGTAATAATTAATATATGAAACAAAACTAGTTGATCCTTTAAGTAATGTTCAAAATATTAATATGAAATATGAATGGGAATTAATTAATACTCAAGGAAGAATATTAAAGAGTATGAATCCTACTATAGTTAATATCAAGATGTTAACTAATTGTCATCTTAGTAACACTCCCCAATATTAACATAGAGGAAGAAATAACTATTACTATAACTAATGT